AAAAAGCATAAATACGGCGGGTATGTATATCAAAAGTTGCAGACATACATACATATATGTAAATGCTATATTGTTGTCCTGTACATTTGACTAATTGTCAATGTATTTAAGCAATTTCGAAACTACGTATATATGTGCCTACATACATATGCTTGTGCATGACCAGCAATGACATAGATCGCCACGGGACCAACAGCAGCTTGCTTACTTTAAAATAGTATTAATTGTCGTTTATACAGGTAGATGTACGATGATATGTACCTGTATATTGCAAACTTCAATTAATTCCAAAAAATGCCTATACCTGGAGTGAAATTTCGTTCAAAGCGATGACCTATTACTTAAATATGAACAGTTGGCCTGTATCTGGCTGCTTATCTTAGCCGCTAAGATATCTGAGAAAATGTGCCATACTGGATATATCAAACTAGATAGCTATTCATCCTTATGGGCTGCCAATACGTTTAGGTCGTTGAAAGGCAACTTGAATTGCCTTGGACGGCAAGTGGTGATCGCGTTGTTTTTTAATAATTTTTGAACCAGGAATCGAGTGACGACCTTTGCTAATATTTCAAATGTTTCTGGCTAATAAAATTCGACAAAAGGTTATATGTATAAGTTGGTTTTTGTCTATGACTATTCATCGAAAAAGCTCTGCTGACACAATACAAACTTTGGGAATTAAAATATTTTCTACTACTTACTAGAATGTGCAAAGCACTGCATTGCTTAGCTTCTGTACTCTTTGGAGCCAACATTCTATTCTATTGAACATTCTGGAAAACAATTTGCGGGATGCGAAGCTCTGACGCTGTGGAAATTATCCGGCTGGAAAGCCAAGATTCGAAGGATAATAACCTCCAAGTGCCCCAAGGGTAAACTTTACAAAATGTCATAAAATATCTATGCCACATAGAGAACTTTGATCAAGGGGAGCTCCTAAAGAAAATAGATTGCTCCACTTCTACACCGATGGTTCAAAACTTAGGAACAGCGTAGGAAGTAGAATATTCTCAGTACATTTGGGTCTGGAAAAATCCCTCGTTTTTAAAGCTGTTTTTGCTGCAATATAGGAGGCGGTAAAATGGAGTTCGAATAGGAGAAGCCATTGTAACAACTGCGGACTGCAGTGGATTCCGGAGTGCCGGAACATACGAGGCACCAACACAGACCAGGCGAAGAGGAGAGGATCCACTTTGCCAGTCCTGGAATAGCTTAGGCATGTCGCTCGCTACCTACAAGTCGGGAGTCGATTGAAGATGACCCCCGCTTTGGACGACCCGTCGAGGCACCCACATCAGAAATCGCAGAAAAAGTTAAAAAGCTTGCAGTGGAGGATGCCCGTCTGAAGAAGGAGTAGTGATCTGCAGTAGTTGGAGTATCAGGTACTACAATTTTGCGAATCCTAAAAGATAATTTGAATATGACACAAGTCAGTGCATGATGGGTACCCAGAACGCTTACACCGCCTCAGAAAAAGCACAGATTTTGGAGCGGATTGCCATTGGAGATGAAACATGGAAACAGGAGTCCAGTAATGGCATAAAAAGGGCACACCACACCCAACGAAATTCAAAGTATCGGAGTTGGTACGAAAATTGATGGCTACTGGTTTTTGGGATTGTAAGGGAACATTGCTCATCGATTATAAAGAAAAGGGAGACTACTACGCAACCATATTAAAAAATTAAAGGAGGCCATCAAGGAAAAATGTAGAGGAAAATTGACCAAGGGTGTGTTGCTCTAGCAAGACAACGCGCCGGTTCACAAGAGCAGACTTGCAATGGCTCTGAATGATTTCGAATCGTTGTTTCACCAACCGTACAGTCCAGACTTGACCACAAGTAACTTGTAACTGTTTCCAAATTTAAAATAAGAGTTAATTTTCGGAAGAAAATGAGGTCGAGGCTCAGGTTGAGGCGAAAGATAAAAATGGAAAAACTATGTATTTAGATTAACGGAGATTATATTGAAAAGGAAAACTAAATCTATTGTTTTATCTCATTTATAACCTTTCCATTCAACAAATTTTTGTCAAACACCATGAAATAGGGAAATAGGTGCAAATACATTATGTGTATAGAAAAATATGCTTTATAAGACAGTTGCAGTTTCTACACTGGGCTATTTATGCATATTTAAAGGAAGATATATGTATGTCTACCTATGTCTGTGTGTTCCATTGTGTATGTAAATATGTACATATTTATGCGACCATATTTGCTCTACTTTATGCCACAATTGAACTCACTAATCCAGTTGTAGTCCGTAAGCGCCGTCAATGCGGGTTTTGTGTGCCACGTTGCCGCATGAAAATCGAGCGGTCGACAACCGCACTCATTCACCGACGCACGCAAACTACATATGCACCTACATAGCTTGAACACCTACACAGAGAATTATGCGCGCCGATATTATTGTTGCATTGAGCAAATTTCTCCTAACTGTCTAACTAATGGCAGTTCGCCGCGTTTCAACTACGATTGAACACCTGCATATGCTACTTTATATATATGTATGGACTTTAGACTGGGTCGCGAAATAAGTTTGCACCTAAACTCACTAATCTGAAGCAAGTTTTCCTTCTTGGAGAGTCCTAAATCGCAGTTCCTTGATAATGTAGGCAGACTGACAGAATTGAAAATATGTGGGCATTTCAAGTCGCTGCAACTGTTCTTTTTATTATTGTGGGGTGCTCACACTACTCTGGTTATGTAATAAAAAATTATTCTTATATACTTTGTTGTTGTAAACTAAATGAACAAAATAACCACATAACCAGATAACGTGATAACCAGACAGGTGTAACCACTCACACTGTATTGTTATGCTGCCAACAAAAAAATTTGTGATATAAAATTACTAAAATGTATACTTTTTTATGAAGTAAGTAGCTTAAGGAGTTCCTCTGAGTCGACAGGATCTTCAAATGAAGTTTACTACTTAAAGATATCAATTAAGCGATTCATCCTTCATAAATAAAAACTTGAGTATAAAATTTCGATTTTGGCTATTCATAGTAATCGCTAAGTACGAACATTTTAATGGTGACGAAATTCTATCAACGTAAGCTTTCAAATAAGGGAACTTTTTTCTTTTGTGTGGGCACCAACGCAGTCTAATGCACATGTATGTATGTATGTATATAGATTTAATTAAATGCGCGCTTGATTGTACGCTTATGCCCATTTACGCAGGTGGACATTCGGCTTGCCGTGTTGTGCACAGCTTTTGACTTTGAAAAGCTGCCGGCATTACTATGCTAATTTGTCGCTCAATGCGGCACAACGACGTATTTAAAATTTTAATGCCATAAAGTATGGCCTCCACCAGACTTGTACAGAGCTGGTGTTTAGATAGCCAATTAATTTAGTTTTAAGTGATGTTTTTCCTTTGTTGCTATAAATTTGCAAGTATTAAATAATGAGAAGGATTATACACATATTCGAGCTCTAATTACATAGTTTTGAAAAAGTGAATGTATCAATGATTATGTGAATATTTAATACTAATACATTTAATACTAAGTAACTATTTGTGTGGCGGCTTAAGCTCCACGCTCTTTATCTGCGCTGGTCAAAAATAGCGTATAACAATGGATTTTATAAGGAGCTTTTATACGCAAAAGTAGGGAAAACCTAGCCGTACGATGTTTATTAGAGCTGCCACCTGCATTGAAATCAAATAACGTAGAAAGTTAAAAATTAATGTTTTTAAATATTTTCACATAACAAAGTGAAAAAAATTATGTCGAAACATGTACATATGTATGTACTATGTCTAGAATTGTTCTAGTCCGATAAAAATTATATCCCGGTTATTTTATTTTGCATTCAACAAATATTTAGAGGTCGCTCAAAGCGCAAAGTTTTCCATGAAATAGTATGGAATTCTTAGAAATCAATATTTTTCGATCGGAAAACTTTGTTTCTCTTTAGGAAACTTTCAATAGCAATACCCAAACCTTTAGTTACTATAAACTATTTTCTATTATTAACTATTTTTTATAGGACCCCTAAAAACCAAAAAAAAATGCAATGGGGGATCCTTAAAAAATCGGTAGTATTAAAAAATGGTATATAAACAATTGGGTCTCTACAGGAGGATCCAGAGTTTTATGATCAAAATATATTGATTTTTAGAATTCTATATCATTACTACGAAAACTTGTTTTTTCTCCCATATAAAATACATAAAAAACTTAAACGCTTTGAGCGACCTTAAAATATTTTTTAATTTCAACGGAAAAAAACAACAGGGGTATAATTTTTTCGGTATGGAACAATGCTAGGGGGTGAGAACATTAAAATACCGACTTTACTTTTTCCCACATGTATTTTTGGAGCACCCTAATGTACATATGTACATATTCTAAATTAATTTTCACTTCTACTGAGCATAAAAAGAACTAATCAAATATCAGTAAACAGTTTTACGCAAAATTATCGAAAAATGCAGTAAAATGTGAATAGATATTAAAGGCTTGCAGAAGCCTCGACAAGTTTAAAAAGTGTCAATAGATCCAAACCCGTATGTCGAAATATCTGAATAGATCAGAAAATTTTGGAAAGATTCGGGGTCTATAGGTACCGAATAAAGAAAACGCCTAAAAATCTGAAAAGTTCTAAATAAAGCCGAACATTTTATAAATTCCACTTAAATTGCACTTTACTTACTTTCTTTTACTGTGCAATAGTTCACAGGCAAAGTAAACACAATAAAATAGACCAGCCGCACTCTACCGCAGAGCCCGGGTTCTCAAGTCCAGTTTCCGACCAACATCAAAAAATAAAAAACAAATAGTTTAACAATTTTTTTGCATATAAGTATGTAATTCAATTTCGGAATAAGTGTCAGATATGAATTGTCAATGACTACATAACTATGTACTACTTAAAAATAATTAATTTAAATCCTAATTTCCAGATTAATATAAAATTTTATAATATTTAAAATTTTATTATATGTGAATGCATCTCTCTTTCTGCCCACAGAGCCTTTCTGCGCGATGTCGTCGAAACTGCCAACATATTCATTAAAATGATGGAGAAATTCTGCAAGGACACCGTGTTTTTGCAGGAAAAGAAGCGTTCCAAGAAGCATGGCCGCAAGCCAAAAGCAAATAAAAAACCGGAACCCAAACCACAACTTACAGAGGTACGTACGTAAATACATACATACATACATACTCTACATGTGCATGTAGTATGTAGAGTAGAAATACAAAGGAAGCTGCGGGCATTACGGGCCAACCAAAAATTTATTTACAGAGAATTACAAACTGCTAGGATGAAAAAATTCAGTGAATAACTATTAAAGTTAATTATACTACGGCAGCATTCTGAAAAAAAACAAAATGATTTACATACATTTTTTAAACCCTTTTGTACGGCAACTTCGCACAATTAGCTCACACTTTTTTTTAAATATATATTTTGTTTTAACTTTCCACGCAAATGCACTAAATTATCAGTGCAGACAATTTACGCCGCATTTCCGTTCATTCCCTTCGCCATTTTATTGACGAAAAGTCGTAAGCTTTTTTGCAAAATTTATAACGAGACATCAAGTTTAATTGAGTGAAAATAAAGCAAACTCAGCGGCAATTGCTTAACAACTGGTTGCCCGAGAGCGGTGAACTTCACATAGTATGCACACAAGTAAGTAGATATGTATGTACCCTGCAGGGAAAGCTACTATTTAGTTGTGAAATAGAATTCTACCAGTTTGCGTTTCAGCCCAACTAGTTTGCGTTCTATCCTTTTTCAATGTTAGCGACTGGCATTTTTAACATGGCGATGTCCTACGAGATGTCAATTGTCCGCTCCTGCATCAGCACCCTACCAGTAGAAATACTAGTAGCATCATACGAGTTGACGGGATAGACTGCCAATTCAACCCCCGTGAAAAGCGTAAGTATGCCTTTTTGCTCGCGGTGCTCCAACAATCGCAATGGCCGACAGAGCAAAGCACTTGCGTGGTATGCTTGAGGTTCCAGGTTCAAGTACTTTATTTATTTTCATTTTTTATATTTTTTATTATTAATTTTTCATTAAAAACGGCCTCAAGCTCAATATAAATTGTTGAATATCTTCTATATACCTATATAATACGCGAAGCGATTTTTAGTCCAGGTTCGTTTGATTTTCTAAAATAAGATATCAAATTTAAAGGCTTCGGCTGTAGATGTGCAATAAGGCTTTACTTTTTCGAAAAGTGTTACCACCTGTTAAGAAATTAAGCTCAAATTATTTAAAAAGGTAAAACGATTGTTACAATATATAAGGGTATCAACCAAAATGGCGTTAAAAGGCTTTATATCTTAACTACTTTAGAAGGGTTGCCACATGTTTAAAAAATATTAAATTTCAATTTAAGAAATTCAGTAAGTGAATAAGTTATTACCATATAGGTGGCAAAAAGAGAGAGATTTACGAAGGTAGTAGTATGAAAATATTCTAAAGAGGGTTGCCACCTATTTAAGAATTCACCTATTTAAGAAGTCGGATGAAATTATTTTTTACACAAGTTATATGAAACATTACAAATCGGTATCAAAATCCTTTTTTTCTGTACTATATTTAGGAGAGTTGCCACAAATTTAAAAAAATTAAATTCAACTTAATTCATCAGTTACTTGAAATATTTATAACAATGTCACCTGAAATATTTGTAACAATGTATCTAAGAAAATTTAAGTTCGAAAATAATTTTGAAAAGGGTTGCCGCCTGTTTTGAAAGTCGAACTTAGTTTAATTATACACCAGTTATGTACATGAAATTTTAAAATATGGGTACCAAACGAACGAGAGTTAACAAATATTTATTTTGAGCGTTTAGAGTTTTTTTAGGGGGTCAGAAGAGGGTTGCCACCTCTTGAATAAATTTAATTCAAATTATTCAATAAGTTAAATTGATTGTCTAAGGATGGGTATCATTCCAAATGTGCTTGAAAATAATTTATATCTGAATTGTATTTAGAAGAGTTGCCATGTATTAAAAAATCAAATTCAAATAAAAAAAAAAGTTTTAGTTAGAAAATACTTTTGAAGGGGCTGAAACCTATTTTAAAAGTCGATTTTGTTCTAGTTATAAAGAAGTTAAATGAAATATTGAAAAATTAATATCAAATGAGTTTTTGGAAAGCTTAAGGCTGATAATATTTTTAATTACGGTTTCCAACAATTTTTTTTAAGGTCATCAGATCTGCTCCGGTATTTCTAATTTCCGAAATAAAAAGCCAAGTTAAAGAACTGGGATTGACATAGATGTGCAATAAGTTTAATTTTTTGAAATTAGGACTTTTTTAGCGGTACAGAGTGATTTGAAAATTGATGAATTGAAAACAGACACCATGCGAGACTTCTTATCACTCAGATTGTTTAGATGAATCATTAGGAATATTTTTACCTTTTAAAAAGCTAAGTTCAATTTTAGGTTTTAACGTCATAAATAACAAAAACAAATAACTTAAGGTTTTTATTGTAATTTTTATACTAAATAAAAGAAGCTAATAATTTTTTTTTATAGCACAAGTATTTCTTCTTTCCATATGCATGTTTTTTCTGCAATGCAATTCGATTTTCAAGTTTGTTAATTATATTTAAATCCAAATAATTATTTTTACTTACATTGATTTAATTTGAAAAATCTTAACCACCTACCAGCGTACTTGAACTTGCTATCTCGAAACCAGAAGCGGTAGTCTTCAAGCGACACCACAGCCGACATTTTTAAGAAAAGGAATTAATTGCGTTTTTTTTTGGCTTTGGCAATTTAAAGGCAGATGTCGCTGAACGCTTAGGTTCGAACTGGTAGGCCATCGCTTCAGCACATACTAGTTAATGAACTAGTATTTTTACTGACCGGTTTGGCTTTTCACCGCAGGGTATGTAAGTATGCACGCACGCATCTGTGCACGTTGTTGGTAGCTGTGGGGCCTGGCCTCCACCGCGTTTGGTCCTCTGTATTTTAAAATTGCGCATCACTAGCTTTAAGCTCCAATTTTAATAGAGCCATCGCTGCGAAAGCCTCTGCCATAGTACTTCGCTTTTAATAAATTTCCTGCAACATATACTTACAATTTCAACATTTATATAAGTAAATAACTGTACAAATGAAACTACACATACATTTATCCTATACATACATACATAGATATACTTATTCCTTTATGTCCATACCAACATTTATTTATCACCAACGCAATGACTTGCCATAATGGCCGACGCGACGTCGGCATCGTGGTCCTTTCTGGCGCACCGGGCGGATTGATTGCCACGATGCGCAGTCAGCTCGCGGATTTAAAAACTATCGTCCATATTTCTTTCTGTGCCGTTTGCAGCTCCTCTGTCTACTATCTATTTGCTTGCCCTGTCATCTGTGCCGCTTGGCCTGCTGAACTTTCTCATTGGGGCGATCTGTTGGCAATCCAATCAGAAGAGACATTCCATTTTGCCACTTTTCTTCGGTCACTTCGCTACATTTAACTATTTTTTTGTTTGTATTTTTACACTTTGTTCACCATCGCTTGCAGCTGTGTCCTTTCATGTTGCCCACACTTTTACATATTTGCGTTTATATGAGTGAGCATCAGGGTGGTCCAAAATAAGTAAAGTCGGAATTTTAATGCTCTCACCCACTAGGATTGTTCTATATCGAAAAAAATATACCCCTACTTTTTTTAAATCAAAAAATATTTAGAGGTCGCTCAAAGCGCTCAAAGTTTTCCATGTATTTTGTACAGGAAAACAAAACCAACTCAGGTTCTTTTCAGGAGACTCCCAGTTGCAATACCCAAGTATTTATTTAACTATTTTTTAATACTAAAGATTTTTTATTTTTTCCCCTATTTCATTTTCTGGCATTTTCTGGAGGTTTTGGCGAACCTATAAAATATATTTACTAAGAAAAAATGGTTAAATAAATAATTGGGTAATTTTATTGGGAATTTCCTGAAGAGGAAGAGAGTTTTGCCGATCGAAAAATGTTGATTTTTAAGAATTCTATACCATTTCTAAGAAAAGTGGGTTTTCCCGATATAAAATACATGGACTACTTTGAGCGCTTTGAGCGACCTCTAAGTATTTACTTGATTTCAAAATAAAAAAGGGTATACTTTTTTCGGTATAGATCAATTCTAGGGGGTGAGGGCATACAAAATCCGACTTTACTTTTTCACATGCATTTTTGGACCACCCTAGTGAGCATACATATGTGCTTTACCTACCAGCAATATTCTCGCTCGCTCAGCACGACTTCCTGTACGCCAACACTGCGCAACGTTGTGTCAACTTTTTCCCACGTTTTATTTACCTCTTGTCGCGTTGACTGGACATTATTTTATTGATAAATTCAAATATTAACTGTAATAATAGTTGTGTCCTTTTAGCGCTGAGGTAGCGGCGCGCCGAAAAATACGCACATCTGGAGTTGAGACAAATGCGATGCGGGTGAACATTCGGACGCAGCCTGTTGAAATTTATAGTCATCTCGCTAGCAAGCGCGTCCAAAAAGTTGCCCTTTTCCGTTGTGATCCAGGATATCTTCATCGAATATTTTTCTCTCAGCCAAATAAAAGCAAGCCTTTAAAAATTTTAATACACCATATAATTGCATTACATTTAGGCGCGAACAAACAAAAAACGTCGCAATTTAAGTAAATTATTTAACAACTGGCTTAACTTGCCTTGCCAGCCAAATTTGTTATAAAATACCGTAACTTCTACGCTAAGACCAGAACATTAACGCTAATGAAGCATTTGAATTTCATAAGCTCTTTGAAAATGCATTGGAAGAATTTGTATCAACACATAAAATTCTAAAGCCTCCTATTTTGATAGTGAAACCTGAAACCTTTGAAAACAGATAGGCTAGGTTGATTGTGGCAGACCCCGCAAGGGGGGGCTCACTAGACATTAACAGTCCATTGTGTTACCACATTACGGAATTTAGTTAGAACGGTAACTATAGGCTCTCTGTGTTAAGCTAAGAGAAGCGCTGGGTTCCCAAAACAAAGTTACGCAGGCAGCTGATGTCGACTCCGGAGAGCTTTTCGGCAGTGCTAATGAAATCCACACCCAAGTGCTTAAACCTTAGCCTGGTGAGAGCGGGGCAGCTGAGAAGGAAGTGCAGGGATGATTACACCTCGTTTTCCA